GGCGGCGGTGCGCTTGCACGTCACGGCTACTCAAAACCAAGCACGTCCCGAAAGCGGTGTTTCCTGCGTCTGGGAGGTTTTGGCAACCTCAGTTCCCACCGCTGGGGCTGGCGACGACCCACTGTAAGAGAAACTCAGTGGGAGGCCAGGCAAGGGGGTGCCGACGACGGGGAGGCGACTCTGGCGTGCTGGGAAGTAAATGCCGGACTTGATCTTTCCGTTTCAGCGCGAACCTGTCGCTGGCGAAGAGCTGTCATTTCAGCACCAGGGTTCCGAGGGGTTCAGAGGACTTGGTCGTCCACAGCGGAGGGGGCACAGCTCAGCGCGGGACCTGCTGTGTGTGTGTCTCCGGGTGGAACAATACTAGTTTTGCTCAGCGAGGCTGCAATTAACATCTTATTTGTTCTGGCTAGATACAGGCTTTGTCCGGACCGCGGCGCAGCGACAGAGGTTGGGCATCTCGCATTGCTTTCTGCATGGCAATGGGATCCTGGTTGTGGGGTTTAAACTTTTGTTTTCTGAACCTATCTAATTCTTTTTCAAGTTTCCCTAGTAACAGGTTTGGGGACAGGGGTGGGAAGAAACAAGGGAAGGGGTGGGGGAGAAGCTGCCAGATTCTTGATTTAGCAGGAGAAACGAGATAAATGCCCATCACTCCCCGCCTTCATTTATTTATTTATTTAGCCTCCTGGACAGTTAGCGGGCTGACAAGTATTTGATGATGTAGCTTCAGATACATGCTGCCAAAGGTCATTCACCTACTGGTTATGTATGTCTCCACTCATAAACGCAGTTGGTGGCGTGCAAAACAAGTACTAAATGGCTCCCATGATATGGTGGGTGGACCATAATGGGTAATTCACATAGTAAAGTGTTGGAGTCTTCCGAAGGATGAGTGGCTTGAGTGGCAGGTGAAGTTGAATAAAACAATTTTCCATCTTTTCCTCTCCTCACTTTTTCTGCATTTTTCTTCCTCTTGTTGTTACTCTGCTGGGGCGATTAGATAGCCAAGAACGTCATTTTAAAACAGGATTATAGTGAAAACAGGAAAGTGTCAATGACCTTTTATTCACACAAGTGGTCAGAAATATTAAAATCGGCCCTTTACTTTTTAATAAATATGAATAGGGTGATCCTCTTCAAGGCTTTCTTTTCTAGGACAAGTGTTCAGAATAACACCCCATAAAGGAAACAGTTAATCATTTCCCCATCCAGCAGGCTTTAACCATGTTCCAGGAAAAATCACTGCTGAGAGAGCAGCCTGGGTGGCGTTTTGGGTTTGTGTCGTTTTTAGTTCATTACAGTATTTTTTTATTCACTTAAAGGAGTGGGAAAGGAAAGTAAGATTTATGTCCAGGCATAATTCAAAACATTGTGTCTTAAGCAAACACATTTTCTTTTAAAAGCAAACATTGTTAAGCACCACAAAAGGGAAACATTTCATTTATTTCAATTCCCACGGAGATTTTAATTATGATATTTGCAAGACATTTTGGTCAGTTCTGTAATTTTGCCAAGAGCAAAAAATAAAGACATTTAATGACATGTAAAAAAAATGGAGGAAAGGAGGATATTTTGCATGATTTGTACATAAAAAGGAGAGGAAACTATGTGAGGTTTAGATATACTTTTATTTCACATCTAGTGGTTTCTCACATTATCTTTGAACACTGTGATTTTGATGTTTCTTAGAAAAATCTTGAAGTCATGACACAGTGACATAAGAATGACAGCCGAAAGGGACAGTTTAAAACGCGTTAATCCTAAATGGAAAGACTCACTCACTCCCAGGATCATTTATATTCATGTAGAATACAGGGCTAGGTCGGAGAGAAAGCCACCCTTAATAAAGCGCTTCACCCTTCACACTGTTTCCCATAACCTTCATAAATTGCAGGCTACCGAGCCGGCCTGATGATGATCCTGCTGAGGTATATTTATAGCAGCTGATTTGTGGATGATAAATATGCCAAGCAGAACATGGTCTCCAGTAACCCCAGCCTGGTCTGACTTCCTCAGGGGCTCATAATCAAGAATCACAGTAAGAACCATGTATGGAAAATCTGGTCCCTGGACCCTGACCACAGCACAATCCAAAGGCGAAACGAGGAAGAACCACCCTGACTCACATCTGCACTAGGTCCCACGTGAATGCAACCACTGGCAATATCGACCCAACAGCAAAAAAGAGCAACAAATGTACACATGTAGGCTTTCTGTGTCCTTTCCATTTATCGAGCTTGGTTTGGTTTGGTTTTTATACTTTAATAGATTTTAAAATTACCATTTCAAATTAAAATCATCAACCTTCACTGGCCTCTTCACAAGTCCATGAGTGTGTGTGTGTGTGTGTGTGTGTCTGTTTATATGTCTATACATAAGTACATGCACACATATTTTACATATACACAAAATGTATAGCCTATATAATAAAAGGCTAATATGCAAATTGTCCCCTTGACTGGGAGTTCCACTGTGAATTCAACCAAGAGTTTGATCAGGGGGCGGGGCCGGCCCACCAACCGCCCACAGCTCCTCCCCCCAACCCCTCTAGTTGTGTGTGTGTATGTGTGTGTGTGTGTGTGTATACAAACATATATGTGTATATATATGTATATATATATACACACAAATACATATTTAATACATACTCATGTATTTCAGTTGTTATACAACATATAATTATTTGGGAAAATGGACTCAGTGCATTGTTTCATATCTTCAATAAAGTATTCTCACTCCAAAATTGCCAGATTAATTATGTAAACTAATTTTCATTTACATTTCCTGGCCACATTTCAAAAGGACTATTGAAAAACCAGTGTTCTTCTTGTCTCTTTGATTGGTGGTCCCTCCAAGCATATGTACCCCTGATGTCTTTCTATATGTCCCAATTTTTCTTATAAACATCAGTCAGATTGCATTGGTGACCCCATTTTCACTAAAATACCTCTTTAAAGACCCTTACCTGCAAAGACAGTCACATTTTGAAGTGCTGGCAATTAGAGATTTGACATCTGAATTTAGGGGTGGGGGCAGAATTCAACCCATAACACACCTCAAACACATATATTTCAAAACTAACCAATTATTTCCCTTTTCACTGCCATCTTTGTTTTCCAAAGTTCCAAAGCTTGTAGTTTTGGTGTCAAATATCTTTGTTAATTATCCCCAATCAATTATGCTCAAGGCAAAAAAAATAAAGAAAAATAAAATGTGTTCTTTAAAAGAAAACATGCTGAAAACCTTTTAAAACCCTGGTTACTTCTCATGGCACATCCAATAAATCCAACCCTTAATCATGGCCCAAGGTGCCCTACATCATTTGACTCTTATTTCTCTTTCAGCCTGAGCCACACTTCTGCTTACTTATGATGTCTAAACTACATTCATCTTCTCTCTGTGTCTCAGAGAAATCTCTCCCCTTCCAGCCTCCCTGTATAAGAAGTGAACTTTCCTTCTCTTGCTGTTGGGATAACTTATTGACCTGTCCTGCTCACATCCCTCATGCTTCATCTTCAAAATCCTCTCTTCAGAGAAGCCTTTTTATTTCTTAACCACCCAATCTATGGTGTCTCTCCTTATATCTTCTCTCAAGGCACTCATTTCCCTGTTTTGTAATACTTGGTCATTTTTAATTACTTAATGTTCTTTATCTATTTTCCTCCTTACCCCATAAGTTCCATCATTATATAGGGTGGGGCAAAAGTAGATTTACAGTTATAAATATGCGAACTTATTCTTGCATTATTTATTAATTATTATATTTTTTCCATATGACCAATTGTAAACCTATGTTTACCCCACCCTGTATACTCTTGTCTAACATAGCGAATGGCACATGGTAAGTGCTTAATAGATATTTAGTGAGTGAGTCCATTACAATTGGCAACATATTAAATTCCACAGGTTGTAATTGGTTATGCCCATTAAAATGATATCCATTTTAAATATATATATCAAATTATTTGTGTCACAATTCAGCTAGACTTCTCTTTTTCCTGGACCAAGCACTTTGTTTTCCTCATTTGTTTCTCATGTGACATGGTCTCTAGATTCTCCATCTTTAGGGCTACTTTCCATTGAAATTAACTCAGCTTTTCACAGTTCATTGATGTTATAATTTTTAGAATACTTCAGATTTAAAATTTAGAGTGTAGATAAAATAAATCTATTTGTCTGGTTCAAGTTAATAAATGTTTACTGGGCATCTTCTTAGCCAAACTCTGTAGTTACAAGGATGAATATCTCAGAATCTTCCATATAAGGAGAAAAAGGCTTTCAACTCCCTGAAATGAATGTAGCATTGATGTATTCAACACATCATTAAAAGCAAATACTCCATAAAAGACATGCTGTAAGATGTTTGGGAAACAGAAGTGGAAAGTATAGTCCTTCACTTGTGATGATTGTCTCTATTGGTAGAGAAATTTAATACACAGCTAGCCACTGCTTAATTATAAAATGTATATGCATAAATTTCTCAGAGGCAAAAGCTAGGATGTTATGAGAAGTGTGGATTGTGGATGGTGGGTGAGGGGCATATGATAGATGTGAGAGATCAGAGAACATTCACCATTTGATCAGAGATCTGAAGGACATTGAGAGATGACTAATCATTCCAGGCGAGGGGAACAGAGTGTGCAGATACTGAGGCAGGAGGGAAGGAATGCAGTCTAGAGAAACAAAGAAAAGGTGAGGGGAAAGAACAAAGGTGTCAGTGGCAATTGAAGAAGATTAGGATACAAATCTGTGTGTCTTTATCCTGATAGCAATATTGACTGAAAGATTGTAAAAAGGGAAGTAACTAACTCAGATTTACGTTTTTAACAGTTCAGTCTCACTTAAGTGTAAGGAGCAATTTCAGAGAGGTTAGAA